TTGACCAGTGTAAATTAAATGGAGGAGAACGTGGGTACCATGGTGAAGCTCACAGCAACAAATTACTCCATTTGGAAGCCAAAAATAGAGGACATACTTTTCTACAAAGATCTGTATGATCCTGTATAAAAGGGAGATAACAAGCCAAATGATGTGAAGGATGACGATTGGAAAAAATTACACAGGAAGGCTGTCAGTTTAATCAGACAGTGGGTGGATATCATCATATTCCACCATGTTGCCACAGAGTCTAAAGCCCACACTCTGTGGAACAAAATTAAACAAATATACCAGAGGAAGACTGCACAGAATAAAGCTTTCGTCATTAGAAAGCTTGTAAATCTAAAATATAGGGATGAAAGACCAGTTGCAGAACACTTGAATGAGTTTCAAGACATGGTGAACCAACTTGTTACCATGGAGATGAAACTTGATGAAGAATTGCAGGCGCTGTTACTTTTGAGTTCTTTACCGGATAGCTGAGAGACTCTGGTGGTCTCGCTGAGCAATTCTGCCCCAGAAGGAACACTAACTTTGACCCAAGTCAAAGACAATATGTTTAATGAAGAAACAAGAAGAAAAGACTTAGGGGCAAGCAGCTCCCAAGCCCTGGTCACAGAAACCAGAGGGAGAAGCAAAAGCAGAGGCCGGAATAACAAATCCAGAGATAAATCGCAGTCTCAACCCAGAAGAAAATTCAAGTGTTATCACTGCAGTGAAGAAGGGCATATCAAAAGAAACTGCAAAGCCTGGAAGAACAGAGATCGAAGGAACAAATCAGAGAACGATGAAAATATCGCAACCCCTGTGATCAATGGGGAAGTATTACAAATCAGCTGCATCCTACCATGCAACCTCTCACAAGGAATTCTTTTCTCTATACAAAGAAGGAGACTTTGGTAGAGTAAAGATGGGCAACAACAGTATTGCAAATATTGTGGGAGTTGGTGATGTGTGCATTCAAACTGATATTGGGTGCACAATAACACTGAAGGAGGTGCGACATGTACCTGACTTACGTCTGAATTTGATCTTTGTGCATGTATTGGATTTAGCAGGCTATACTAACAACTTTGGTAGCGGCACGTGGAGGCTTACCAAAGGAACATTGTTAGCTGCTAGAGGTACAGTGAGATCGACACTGTACAGAACTCAAGTGAAGCTGGTCAAAGGTTGATTGAATGCAGTCGAGGATGATGCTTCGCCAAATTTGTGGCACAAAAGACTGGCCCATATTGGTGAAAAAGGATTACAAATTTTGGCAAGAAAGTCCCTCATCCCATTTGCCAAAGATTCAAAACTAAATCCTTGTGATTATTGTCTCTTTGGGAAGCATCATAGAGTGTCTTTCAGCAAAACCTCGAAGCTGAAAGAGAATATTTTGGAGATGGTGTACTCTGATGTATGTGGACCCATGGAAGTGGAGAGTCTCGGTGGTAGCAGATTTTCCGTGACGTTTATTGATGATGATTCACGGAAATTGTGGGTATATTTCTTGAGAACAAAGGACGAAGTTTTCAAGTACTTCAAAAGGTTTCATGCTATGGTGGAGAGACAGACTGGTAAACCTTTGAAGTGTCTTCGCTCAGATAATGGAGGGGAGTACTCTTCCCATGAATTCAAGAATTATTGTGCTGATCATGAAATCAGACATGAGAAGACTGTACCTGGAACCCCACAACATAATGGTGTGGCTGAAAGAATCAATAGAACCATTATGGAGAAAGTGAGGTGTATGTTAAGAATGGCTAAACTACCTAAGCCATTTTGGGGTGAAGCTGTTCTAACGGCGTGCTACCTGATCAACCGATCTCCATCTGTTCCTTTGGGCTTTGATATCCCTGAGAGAGTATGGTCCGGACATGATGTTAAATACTCTCATTTAAAGGTATTTGGATGCAAAGCTTTTGCTCACGTAAGCAAGGAACAGAGACGAAAACTTGATGATAGAGCCATTTCTTGTATATTTCTGGGCTATGCAGATGAGGAATTTGGCTACAAGTTATGGGATCCAGAAAATAAAAAAATTATCAGAAGCAAAGATGTAGTGTTCCATGAGCAAGAAACTATGTCTGATTCTGCTTCACCAGAAACTACAGAATCAAGTGGTAAGGTGGATCTTTCACCTGTCAAACCTCCTGGAGATGCCACAGCAGGGGGAGAGTGTGATGGAGAACTCAGGGTTGATGATGAGCCAGCAACAAAAGATGGTGATGGTGAAGGTGTCGAGCAAGAAAACCTCGAAGCTCCGCCTCAGCTCAGAAGATCAAATAGAGCGATCCAACCGTCTACGAGATACCCTAGTTCCACGTTTATTACCATCACTGAAGAAGGGGAGCCAGAAAGCTTTGAAGAAGTACAGACTCATAAGGATAAATCCCAGTGGATGAAAGCTATGCAAGAAGAAATGGATTCACTGGTGAAAAATGAAACTTATGAGCTTGTGAAGCTTCCGGAAGGCAGGAAAGCCTTGAAAAATAAATGGGTGTTCAAACTTAAGAAAGATGGTGACAAGCTGTTGAAATACAAGGCTCGCTTAGTTGTGAAAGGATTTGGACAAAAGCGAGGAATAGATTTTGATGAGATATTCTCTCCGGTTGTAAAGATGAGCTCTCTTCGAGTAGTACTCGGATTGGTGGCTAGCTTGGATCTGGAGCTTGAACAACTAGATGTGAAGACTGCATTTCTTCATGGAGACCTAGATGAAGAAATCTACATGGAGCAACCAGAAGGATTTGAAAAGACTGGAAAGGAGCACATGGTTTGCAGATTGAAGAAGAGCTTGTATGGACTAAAACAAGCTCCAAGACAGTGGTATAAGAAATTTGACACGTTCATGTCTAGTCATGGATATACCAAGACTGATGTAGATCATTGTGTGTTTGTGATGAAATTTCCAGGTGATAAGTTTATTATCCTTTTGTTATATGTAGATGATATGTTGATAGTGGGACGGGATATGAAGCTGATTGGTGATTTGAAGAAGGACTTAGCAAAGTCCTTTGATATGAAGGATCTCGGCCCTGCAAAAAAAATTTTGGGCATGCAGATCATGCGAAACTGAAAATCCAAGAGGTTGTGGTTATCGCAAGAACGATATGTGAATCGGATTCTGGAGAGATTCAACATGAAATCGGCTAAGCCAGTCAATACACCGTTGGCCAATCACTTCAAACTGAGTAAACGAAGTTGTTCTACGAGTCAAGAAGAAAAAGAAGCTATGGCGGGTGTTCCATACTCCTCGGCAGTCGGGAGTTTGATATATGCCATGGTTTGTACTAGACCAGATATCGCTCACGCGGTTGGAATTGTTAGCATGTATCTTTCCAATCCTGGGAAAGATCATTGGGAAGCTGTTAAGTGGATCTTGAGGTACCTAAAAGGCAGTGCAAATAAGTCCTTGAGCTTCAGCAAAGGAAACCCAATTCTTGAAGGTTATACAGATGTGGATATGTCAGGTGACCTGGATAGTAGGAAATCTACTTCAGGGCTTGTGTTTACATTTGCAGGAGGAGGAGCTGTATTTTGGCAATCTAAATTGCAGAAATCTGTTGCCTTGTCGACTACTGAAGCAGAATATATTGCAATGACAGAAGCAGGAAAACAAATGCTTTGGTTGAAGAGGTTTCTTCAACAATTGGGAATGATGCAGGAAAGGTACGATATCCATTGCGATAGTCAGAGCGCATTGGATTTGAGTAAGAATGCGATGTACCACTCCCGCACGAAGCACATTGATGTCAGATATCATTGGCTACGTCAAGCAGTGGAAGAACAACAGTTCAAGTTGGAAAAGATTAACACTGACGAAAACCCTGCTGACATGATGACGAAAGTTGTAACAGGAGAAAAACTTCAGGTTTGTGTCGAGTTGATCGACATGGAATGCATGTGAAGTGTTGCAGAATATTTCCCTTTGGCTGGAGGGGAAGAATTGTCAGAATCCAGCCAAAGTCAGTTTTGGTGGATTAGCACACCATTGTGGAAAGAAAAAAAAATAAAAAAAATGGAAAGAATGAGGAAGTTGCAGTCAGATTTTTTTTTCTTTCATTCACATGCTCTTTCCCCCTCTATAAATAGAGGGGGATTCATTCTGATGAAACACACCAAGCAGAAAGGAAAAAGAGAGAAAAAGAGAGTAGAAATAACATTTGTGTGTGTTATTTTCAGTGAGAGAAAAATAGAGTGTTTGAGTAAATCCTTAGAGTGTGAGAAAAATACACCGGGTTGGGTATCAACTCTATTACTCCTTGTTTAGGAGTGGGGTTCTCACTGGGTCACTATATTTTACATTTCTAGTGTAAGGGGAGTGTGAAAAGATATTGTAATTATCTTGAAAATATATTGGAATTTTTCGGAGGTTGTCCCGTGGTTTTTTCCTCTAATTGGAGGTTTTTTTCACGTTAAATCTTGGTGTCATATTTCTTGCATATTTTATTTATTTGGGATATTCTTAGTATGCTCTGTGGTCGCAGTTTAATCTGATCTTCCACATCAAAAAAAAATTATTCCTGTTTTATTGCAAGAGTATTTTTTTTTTCATTCTTGAGTTGCTGGGATTGGGTTTTTTATTCACCACTTTACCTCGGTGTTTTAATTTACACCTTCTGTATTTGCGCATCTGAGCCCAACATATACGACGGTGTAAATCCAAAAATTAAAAAAAAAAAAAAAA